TTTTTTTTTTTTTTTTTTTTTTTTTTTTCTTTTAAGTTTCTCATTTTTTATTATTATTTTTTGAACGAGTGCTTCTCTGTCGTATTTAAATTATTCAAATTATTAAAAGAAATGTAAATATTTTTAATATAATTAAAATTTTAATCTTTTTTTAATTTAAAATTGAAACGTTAAATTAGCTATAAATTATAATATTTAAGAAGTTGAGGAATTAAAAAAAATTGAAGATTTAAACTGCATTAGAGAAAAATAGAAACCAAGAAAAATAAAAGAACTTTACTCTTCTAATTGAATCTCACGACTCACCGCCGGTTCCGGGAGCCGCCGACTGCAAATTCTCGCGTTTGTCATCGGCGCCTTGCTTGATTTCCGGCGGCCCACCAAGGGGTTCGACTACAGGAACGGCATCGAGCGGCGGAGGGTGGCGGAGATGCGGCGGCGGCGGCGGAGGAGGGTCGAGGGAGCCATCGAGGCAGGAAGCACATTTCTTCTCGACCCATTCCTCGACGTCGTAGTGGGCGCCGTAGCCGAAGACGGGGCGGCCGGAGCAGAGACGGCCGATAATGCCGGCGATGACGCCGAGGATGGAAATGACTGCGAGGACGGCGATGACTGGACCGACGGAGCCGTAGCCGGAATGAGCGGTCGGCGGGGGCTGGAGCTGGTCGACGGGAGTGGACATGGGAGGGAATTAAGTTTTTGAAGTGAAATTGAAGCGGCGGCGGCGGCGGCGGAGGAGGAGCGGAGGCAGATTTGAGGTTTTGGGTTTAGGGAAGAGACAAGATGGGTTCAGAGACGTTGGAAGAAAGTGGACGACAAGCCAAACACTAGACGTGACGTGGTTTTATGGCCACTTTTTTTTTTAATAATAATTAATTTCATTATTATTATTTTTAAATTTTAAATATTTGACAGCGATATGCAACGAGTCGAAGCGGACAATAATTTTTAGTAGTGGGTTTGAGCTGTTACAAATAGTATCAAAGCCAGATACCGAGCGACGCACCAACGAAGACGTTAAGTCTCTATGTAAGAGGGTGGATTGTGAGATCGCAAGTCGGTTGAAGAAGAGAACAAAACATTCATTACAAGGGTATCGAAACCTCTCCCGAATAGACGCGTTTTAAAACAGTGAGACTGACGGTGATACGCAATGGGTTAAAGCGGACAATATCTACTAGAAGTGGATGATGAATTTGGGTTGTTACATCGTCATTGCTATCAACATAGTTACCAGTAAAATATTGACCGATTTGTAAAATCACGTCGGTTGATAAAATATGGATTTAATTGCATTTAAGTCCCTAAATTTTGGAACTCTTCCCATTTTAACCCTTTTTAATTAAATACGTGGAATTGTTGTATATTATTAATTAATTTTATTGGGAGATATTTAAAATGGTTGAATAGATAGAATTGTAAGGAGGCTGTCCTACAAGCCATCTTTAATGGGACAATAACATGCACTGAAGGACGCTATGCCCTTAAATACTGGTCCTGACCGCTGCCCTACCGCGTCGTCTCGGCTATGCTAAAATACGGGCGCTCCTACGGTTAAGACTTTGCACTCGCTACGAAAAGTCCACGCAATCTTTTCTGTCCTTATTTAAACCCACCTTCGTTTTTTTTTTTTTAATAATAATTTTTTTTAATAATAATAATAAATAATCAATTTTAACTGTATTTTTTTTATTAGAGATGTCTACGAGACGGAGTGGTACGGGAATAAGGAAGTCTTTCCATACTCGTTCCAGCCACCTATTTCGGTTCTTACTTTTGTAAAATTTTTTGTTTATTTTCGAGCATTGTCTTAGGACATCTCACCTTCTAATTTCTTTTCTTAAGCTTGGATGAATGTTGTAATTTTAGCGTAAATGTAAGGTCTATTTAGATTATATTTTGTATGCGTTTAATTTTGGGCAAAAAAAAAAAAATAGTGAATTGATAATTTCGCTCGAATTTCTATGATAGGTGAAAATGACCAAAATACCCTCCACTAAAACAAAATTCAAAAGACAAGCATAGATGTGTCTCAAATGCAATTTGGTAACCAATATAAAATTATCTGGGAAGATTATCGTTGTGATAAACGAAAAAGAAATGATCAAAACATTCTCATGCTTGACTCTAACGTACGATAAACCGAATTCAACACCTATTCGATCTTCTTTGTCAGCATCTTCAGAAGTTTAAGCAATTAAGTCTATATTTTGACGAATGATGTGTGTTGGATGAAAGTCTCACATCGGTTAATTTAGGGAATGATCATGGTTTATAATCAAAGAATACTATCTCCATTAGTACGAGGCATTTTGGGGAAGTCCAAAGTAAAATCACTCGAACTTATACTCAAAGTGGACAATATCATACTATTATGGAGCCAGTCACGTTCATAATATGGTGAATCACTTTGATTCAAATATCTCAATTGATTATCACTTTATATGTAAATTAATTTTTATGATCATCGATAATTTTTTGAATTAGCGATAAAAATGTGTATTTTTTCAAGGAAAGTTACATTTTTTAATAGGTTATTTTGGTAAGTTTTAAGAGTATTGTCACATGATTTTTGAAGCCCAATTACCCAAAAGTTTAATCCCAATCAAAACGAAAAAGAATTCCCCAAAACCCTTGTTTTTGGATTAAACCCCACTTCCCAAAACTAAGCGCTTCTCGTAATTCAACTCCGAAAGCAGTGGTTTCATCAGGATTCTTAGCCTTCCGACGAATTCGCCGCCGTCCGCTCCCTCTCACACTCTCCCTGTCTCTGCCGCCGCCGCCGCCGCTTATTTTTGCAGATTTAAAGGTTTCGATTCTTAGTTTCATAATCTAGAAAACTAACCTTGAGTTTGAGTTTGATCGAATGCCTTTGCTTGAATGTTGAAGATATTTCGTTTCTTTTCCATCCAATGATTTCTAACAGAGGGTTCATTATCGTTTTCAAAATCTCTTTTCTTTATCAATATTTTGGCAATTTCAATTGATTTTCTATGTGATGGGTTCATTGATCTTTAAACATGAGCTTGATTTTCGTATCTCTTCTGCCGCAATTTGCCAATTTGTGTGGTGGGTTTTGCTTTTAGTGGAATAACACCAGAAGACATGTTGCATAACAAGTCGTTTGTTAAAAAGACGAAGTCTGGGAAAGTGATGAAGGTCGGTGTATCACTAATCTTTGGCCTTATTACTAGTTTCCTTCCTTTAATCGGTACTCTTCATAGTCTATATCTTACTGTTTTTCTGGGTTTCTGTTCTTCATGGCAGCAAGTGAGAGAACATTATCTTCGAGATGATATATATTGTGGGACTTCAATTTGCGAAAAATGTGATTCTTCTGTAGCTCGTTTGAGTGCCTCTACATCCCCCATTCTAGTTCTTGACACTAATGTTGTTCTTAATCAGGTAATTTACGGGCGGTCCTGTTGTTAACATTAAGCTTTCAACTTGTAGTGTTTTTATGAATTGAAGCGTTTTTACAGATTGATTTGCTTGAGAATCCTGCTATTGACGATGTGGTCATGCTATCGATTGTGCTGGACGAGGTTAAGAACAAGAACTTGTCTGTTTACAATAGAGTTAGAGCTCTCTGCAGCAATCCTCTGCGGAGATTCTTTGTCTTCTCTAATGAGCACCACAAGTATGTTTTCTGTTACCCTTCTGGTTAATATTGGCTTTCAGGGTCGTCGCTGAATGGTATTGTACTGTCGAAATTAACAATAGGATAGACTCACACTTGGGTTGGAGATTCAAAATCTATACTCGTTTATTGTGTTTCTGAACTAAATGGAAATTTGGGATCTCGGTATTTACTTTTTAACTCATTTGCTACTACGTACTTCTAAACGGAAACTCAGCCAATTAAGCAGTTGATTATTGGTGCCTTTGGTTTGAACTTCTACGTAAAGCTAGTGATTTCATGCATAAAAATTGAAGGAAAAAACTAATGACAACTTACAAGACCTTTTTCTAGGGCTGTGGCTGGTTATTGTAACGGTTGAATGAAGTGCGATGCTAAGGTTTTTGATAGAAAATGAACCTCCAACTCTAATGCGCTGTGTTTCCCTATAACATTTTTGCAACATCCCATGGCATGAAGCATCAAAATCTATATGGAAAAACGTGCATTTTAATGGCGTCTTGAATTTTGAGCTTCCTTTGATGACATTGTTTTTGCAGGGATACATATGTTAAGGAGATGAGTGGAGAAAGTAAAAATGATCGAAATGATAGAGGTATTTTCTTGAAATTACACGATGTGATGCTTTAATCTTCGCTTACTTAAGCTGGACTGCATATATTTTCATCCATACTCTGTTCCACATCTACAATAATTATATTTCATACGCATTCTCATATGTCCGTTCATACTCGCATTCTAATTCATTATTTACAGTAACTGCCTAGATATTCTGTATTTTTGTTTTCATAACTTTTTATAAGCTAATTACTGTAAAAAAAATGCTTGCTTAAATGATGTTGACTGTTATCTCTAACCTCACGAGTCAGCAATTCGAGTGGCTGCACAGTGGTATCAGAATCATATTGGTGGTGCTACTCGTGTTCTACTCATAACCAATGACAGAGAGAATAGGAGAAAGGCTGTTGAAGAGGGAATTTGTGCAGAGACAAGTATGTTAGATGTGTATTTATTTTTGGCATTGCTTCAAATCTCTGTGTCTACTACTGTACTACATCGAGTGCTTTTTGTCATATACTTATCTAACTTGGTAATTTGTATCTTCTTTACAGTTGAATCATATGTTAGATCTTTGGGTCAAACTCATTTACTTGACCTGTTAGTGCAAAGTGCAAATGAAGATACAAATATGGAGGAAGTTGAAGATATGAGGCCATCGAAGAGGAAGGTTCTCTACTTCGAGGTATTATATGAGTTATGCTAGACTTCGTTTATTTCTGGTAAGATACGGCCGTCCTGTAAGGTTTCTGGTCTGCAACATATCCTGCTCGTCTTTCTTTTCAGCATAAACCCATGTCAGAAATTACTTCTGGTTTACATCGTGGTATATATCATCAAGGAAAGCTTCGTGTTAATCGATACAATCCATTTGAAGCATATGTGGGAAGTGAGAGTATTGGTGACGAAATAATTATTTATGGGCGTACCAACATGAACCGGGCTTTTGATGGTGATGTTGTAGCAGTTGAACTTCTGTCTCGAGATCAGTGGCATGAAGAGAAGTCTTTGACTATAGCTGATGAAGGTGCTATAATTTTTATCTCCATGAATATTTTATTTAAATGATAACGGATTAGACCTGTGTGAATTCTGTACGGGTTAGGATTGGAGTCATATTCTCACTAATTGTAAGAAGTTCAATCCTACGATGACTAGATTCGTATTTCCAAAGTTTATATTCGGTATTGGTGGTTGTATTTCCAATTCAAGTTTCTATTGGGGATTGAACTTCTCTCTCTTACACATGCACACATGCAATCCCACTATGATGCATACTTTCTGATTCTATTATTGCAGATGATGATGAGGAAGAAGATGTTCATCTTGTTCCTGGTAGCGCTGATGATGCCCCAAGAACTACATCGGTAGTGGGCTCTAATGGAGATTCTACTTCTAGTTCACCACGACCCGCTGGGCGTGTCATTGGTATCATAAAGCGTAACTGGCATTCGTAAGTTATCTTGGTAGTTCGCTAGATCTGCTGTTTTAAGGAGTGACATTTGCTGTACACATTTATATATACTTTTTGTTCTTCTAATAAATACTTAGATATGCCCTAGGTGCATATGTACATGTATTTATTTTTGTATGTGTAGATAATGTTGGGGAAAATATAGCGTGCG